TCATGCAAAGTATTACTTTTGGTTAAATAACCTTTGCAAGTTTCCTGCGCTAAAAGAACCACAATAGGGGGGGATAGAAGCTCTTTTTCCAACCTCCTTACTTACTCTTATGGTGAATACTGACATGCATCCGATGTCCAAACTTACTTGATGTATTTGAATTGAGCCCCTGCATTTTTGAACTGGATTAAACATTTTTGGAAATTACCAAGATGAGAAATCTTCTAAATCATAATTTTTTGTGGTGTTTGTGTGTAAACTCTCAGTTAACTTAGGGAAAATTTAAATGTTAGCAGTCGATTAACTCGATCGGCTTGCATTGTCAGACTAAGCAAGGAGGAATGCAGATGGTCTTCAAACAAGTTTTTCTGATTTCCTGAAAGATTTTTTCCTGGATTCTGGTCTGAATTTTGAATGGGCCATCCTTACATGCAAAAATGCTTTGCTTTAATCTAATCCTTCGTTATGTCCTTCAGGAAGGTTATTCTAATTTCATGAACCCTGTTGTGAAAACCAAAAACAAACAGCATGTTGGTGCCATCATGTTACAGGATGGTAATGAGATTTATTTAGGTTGACGACCAGTGTTATTTTTTCACCACATATGTCTTAGGAAAACAGCAAACGGAAGTTCCATTTTCTTTATTTTTTCCACTATTACACAAAGAGTATGACAGCTAACTGACCTCGAAACTGATTTTCCACCTGAGCTGAGGATTTCTGCAACTCCTCCAGAGAAAGAATGACTCCTCTATTTACAATCCCACAAGAGCTGTGTTCCTGAGGTGCCTGCTGTTATCCATAGTGTTTGTGATGTGTAATGTCCTGCTGTGATCTTAAAGCCACCACTCTGATGGTGGCCCATCTTCTTGCTGTAAGTCCCTTGAGGTCACACTGGGTGGAAAAAAAAAAGCTTATACAGCATGGTTATGTGTGGCAGAGGGGAAGCGGAAGAGAAAGGGGGGATGGTAATGAAGGAGCTAATTGCTTCCAGTGGATTTTGAAATCGAACTCCAACCCTCAGTGCTTGGTCCAGGCAGCACACAAATGGAATATTGATGAGCGTGGCGAAAATAAGAGGAAAATGACCCCGCTGTATGATCAATATGAAAGCCGCAGATCTGTGTGGAATGTGTCTCAACAGGCAATACATTTCCACTGGGTTTTATGGATCAGTATACACTCACCCCAGATATGAGACTGCTGAGGTGCGCAAATATTACCTTATATAAATTTGTTCTCTCGTTTATTCATAGCAGCAAGGCCTTATCGATGGTTTCTAATTGCATTGTAATTATTTAATGGATTGTAATATCATCATAAAAGCTAATATGCATAATTAAACCCTGTTCTAGCAATTTATCTCTTTTTTTCTTTTGCTGCAGTTTGAAACAAACTGAATACATTGGATTGATCTGAATTTTTGAAAGAGAATGTTGCATTTACTGTTATAAACCATACATTGGAGTTCATCTTATTTGTAAGTGACACTGTTCATCCCAGTACTGGTGCAAACATCAGAGTTAATCTTAAAAAAAATTTTTGATTTTCACCAATTATAGGATTATTTCTACAAGGAAGTTTAGCCTGAGGATTGACTCTCTGCCATTTTGGCACTACAGATTTGGCTTCAGTTCATCCTAACTAAAAGGATGCCAGCTAAGAGGAAGCAAACAAAGTGTTACATTTGTTGATCATATTCATGTCACAAGGAATAATTTTGAGCTATGAAAACCTGTATTGCAATTTGAGCTGTAGTCCTTAGACGAACTAATTAAAGTGAGGAGCATAGATAAGAGGGGTTGCCATGACGATCACCTCTCCAGGATGGGTCAGGTGAGAGCAGCAAAGGCTCATGTTTCTAGCTTAGATAAGGAGGATTTTAATGCTGCACGGCTGCAAAGGGACACATTTCCAAAATGAGTAATATGTTAATCAAACGTATTGCAAGTAAATAAACAATATAGTTAATTTTAGTGTTTTACAAAAAAAGTTAAAAATAGATGAAGAAGGAAAAAAAAGTACTTCGATTGATCTTGAAATTTGTATAAAGCTGCATCTTGGGCTTTGGGATTCCAGCGAATCCAAACCAGATAATGATCCATCCCTTAGAAAAAAAGGTTTTTTGAATTTGCAAGACAAAATTGGAAACATTTGGAAGTTATGTTTTGCTACTTCTGGCATAAATCTAAAACACACATTATATTGGTCAGAAAGACAAAAAACAGTGGCTTATAATTCCTTTAGCCTGATGTAAAAGACTTACTGAAATCTGTGACTAGAGACATATTGAACTTTAATACACATGATCAGCCACAGGGATTATTAAATCTTGTGAGCAATTGTATTTTCACAAAGGGCTAGTCTAATCAAATCTGTTGAAGATTTGAAACTTTGAACAAAAATGAAATCTAAATCTTTCTTTTCAGCACTTTGATTAGAATAAAGAAAGAAATTGTCACACCACAGTTTATATGACTGCCTGTCTCTGGTTTTAGCCTACTCTACTCCGGATGCACAGTGACGCCAGCTTGGGCATGCAGCCAGTATTACCACATTGTTAAGATAAGCATCAATATTTCATTAGTCTTCTGAAAGACTTTTGGAGAAATGGCTCTGGCAGATGATTATGATGATAGAACTAACATGTCACATATTGAGTAACTGCAGTATTATAATGTTGCACTCGTTGATGAACACAATTCTCGAGGTTCAATATTACCCAAATGTAATCAGCCAGTTTTTTCGTGCTTTTGACGCCGCTACAGTTTCTTAGATTCCGTGCGAGAATCAGAAGACAGGGAAGCGCCTTTTCATCCTTTGGTGTATATCCCTCTTTCTCCATGTCTCCGTTTTAATAATGGTTTTCTATTTATTCTCCTGGCACTGGAAGGAAGGATTTCACTGTGCCTTTGTTGCCTCCTGTAATATTTCCTTTTGTCTGCCATGTGAAGACTTTGGTTTGATACTGCGGGGAGAATTTCTCCATAACTGGAATGTGCGGCCCATCGTCCCCACAGCCTTGCCGCCTTGTCCCATTTGTTTTTCTCGCAGTGTTTACCTTCTTGTTTTTTCCATTCATCTGTGTCTTTGCCAGCTGCACAACACCGCTCCCTCATGTTTGCGGACTGACTGATCCAGCACAACAAACTGAAGAATGTGCTAGGTATCCCTTTCATTTCTGTTTTCCCCTGTCTTGAGCTCCGTGTCGTTTTTCTTTAACCACACAAAGGGAAATCGTGGACACAGTGAAAATAAAATGAATATTTGAACTTCTTTTCCTGTCTGCTGGCAGGTAATGACTTCCCCATATCTATACACTATAGCAACGCATTGGTTTGGTATGTTAACAATGTTTTCTTTTCATGTGTACCACATTGGATGCCATGCTTGCTATGTCAGCTGTCAAGTTCTTTTGTCAAGTTTTACTTTCTAGAGTATGCCATCATGACAAAACACGTTGTGTAATCAAATAAAATGCAGTAACTAACTAGATTTCACACTTTTTTTTAAATAAATATGTAAAACCAAAGAGATGAAATAGGTCTTGAAAGAGCTTTTAAAGCCTCTTCATATATATTCTATCATTATGGAGCAACAAACAAGAATATGTGATCACCTCTGCTTTTCTGTTTGAACCTAAGAACATCTAAAGCAAATGGTTTCTCAAAGTCCTTTTTCTTGTTTTTGTTATATAATTATTATCTAATAGGATGGGGACAAAACATGCTTTAGAACAGATCCTGTAGGTACTGTTTATGGAACATATGTGCCAAACAATATTTGTCCTTCACAAAGCTTTTCTTCTCTAAAAATGCCTTAATTCGTTCCAGAACAAAACCTTTAATAACACACCACAATCCTGTCCCCACCAAAAAAGGTTGGTATAAGGAAATACCATGATTTGTGATGACAAAGCATTTCGGTCCACTATTACCAATATTTCTGGGCTCCTAGAGTCCACAGTTAAATCAAGATCATTGGGAATACTATAAAACATTTTATCTGCTGTGGTACATTTTAATGTCAAACTGAAACATTTCATAATTGTGATTCTTTCTTAAGTTGGTCACTGGAATAAAACAATTTATCCAGAACTTTTCCAATAGTAGGCAGTGTGAAAATGCATTGGAAGTTTGACAGAAAAGACTAATTCCGTCAAACTTCTGTGAATAGAAGGTTTGAGCATAGGATGTAAATAATACATCTAGTCTGAACCAGCCTGGTCTACATTTAAGGAACATCATAGAAACTGTCAACTATTGTATCACATATTGCATTTGACAGAAACAGTACCTCTTGTACCGCCCTCTCTACCCTTTTTGTCAAACCAGCAACTCTATTCTTTCCCTCAGGCTTGAGCCCCCATCCCATCTCACCTTACTCTATGTGCTGATATACATAAATATATAAAAAATGGATCCGGAAGCCACTTTGTAACAAAAGGGATGTAAAAACTGTAAAATCAGACAATGTTTGATTTATACATGCCATTAGCGAGGAATTGTGTTCCATTATAAGTAGCTTGTCTGTCTAAAGGCCGGTATGTGAAACCTAAACCCATGGTTATACCGATAGGATTTTATGATCTGAACTGAAAGATAGGATTATCGCAGCTGTAATTACAGGGCACAGTATACTGTGTGTGTGTTTTTGTGTGTGCATGTACCACACTAATGGTGATCTTATATAACACTACTCCTTATACAATCCCATTTAAAAGTGTTCATACTACTTGAACTTTATTTTTTGTTTAAAAAAAAATAGAATTGAACGGTCATAATGTGAGGATGACTGTTGGTAACTTTGCATTGCATTTTATATGTCAATCTTGTTAAAAATTGGTGAAACAGGTATTAAAAAGGCTCCTTACTTATGTTATGAATGTCTTACAATTATTTAATGAATGCTTGGGGGTGAGGCTATTAATTAAAATGTCATTAATTCGAGTTTTTAGTACTCAATAGTAAAAATATGTTATTCTGTTTTTTTTATTTCAGCACGAGAGGAGAACGTGGCTACCTTCCGTGGCTCCGAGTACTTCTGCTACGACCTGTCACAGAACCCCATCCAGAGCAGCAGCGATGAGATCACGCTGTCTTTCAAGACATGGCAGCGAAATGGCCTCCTCCTCCACACGGGGAAATCCGCTGACTACGTCAATCTGGCCCTGAAAGATGGGGCGGTTTCGCTTGTCATCAACCTCGGTTCTGGGGCCTTCGAGGCCATCGTAGAGCCAGTCAATGGAAAATTCAATGACAACTCCTGGCACGACATCAAAGTGACACGCAACCTGAGACAGGTAATCGAGGGTAACAGTGATGGATAGTTTGAGATTTTTTTTGCTGTTATTTTGTAGGGAATCTGTCTTGAGGAGCTTTTGAGAAGGCTTTAAGAAACTCATCTTTATCTTATCAGTTGTCATTCCATCACTACAGTTTGGAAACATTATTCAGATAAGAGATTTCATAACTTTGGTTGTTTTAAATTCACATAAATCCATTTTAATCTCTATACATTGGCTTATTTATCTTAGGAATTTAGTAATGGAAAGGTAAAGAGGCACTTTTATTGGGGTTAGGGATATTGCTATTACACTCACTGTTAAGAAAAAAGAGTTAAGGAAGAAGAAATGGTACAGATTTGGTCCTCAAAATACTCAGAAATCTTTACATATGTTCCATAAACAAGGACCTGCCACGTTTCTAACGGCCCCAGAATACCATACATCATGAGTACAGTGATACAGCAGCTATAACAGCTGCAGGAGAGATTCTGCAAATGGATGTCACCAGTCACAGAGAAGTCATTACAGATATTTTAAACATTAATAGGACTTATTAGATTTTGATACTGGATCAGGTTTGGTTTGTGAGATGCCAGCAAGTCATACGGTGCTGTGCTTTTCGCTTGATGACATAGAATGACAAGTATAGGAATCCTCTTGTATGATCTGTGATGACTTTTTGCCCTAAATCTGGATGTACAATAGACCACCTAGCCCTATATTAAGCCACAATATGAAATATTGTGCTAGTAATATTATGATGTGGGGACACAATTCTTTAGTAGGTCAGAAAACATGGTCAGAGTTATTGGGCAATCCAGACAACTCTAAACTTACATCTTTAGCTATGATGGACTGGTGTAGTGGATATCTGGGTCAATAATTGCTCATATAACTAAGAATAGAGAATCAGGATCGCTGTGACATCTGTTTGCACTATAGAAGCTGTGAGATAAAATCACCCAGCTATATTTAAATGTAACAGTCCAGTTAAGACCTAATTGTGCTACCGTGACAAGAACTCTAAATCTTATTTAATCTCACACAAAGGCCTCCACAAAGCAAATTCAAGGGTTTCACAGAAAGTTTCAAATACCTATTAGATAATCTAGGTCCTGTCTGATCATAACATTCGGCAGCCCTTTTCAAATAAAAGCATGTAGAAATCCAATTCTCATCAATATGTTTACCAAATTAAGTCAAAATTCCAACTCGTGGGTGCTGAAATGTTTTCTTTGCAAGTGAGTGAAATATGCAAATCTCTACCTTATTTTATAAGTGATGACTGTTTCTTTTGTCTTGGCTGTTTGAAGAGATTTTAGGTTTCTGTAGTCAAAATATGTCTTATAAGGCTTTTGTGCTTTTACAGTTATGAACGCTGACATTGTCTGAGGGTTATTTGCTGTCTCCTTGCTAAGAGTATGGTTGAAGCTGCCTTTTGATTTTATTTCAAAGACAGTTGAAGCATTTTTGTGCATTCATTACAGCTTTGCTATAACTACTGTTTGGTGTTTTCCTAATATTTACAATCAGCTTGTACTTTGTGTTTCAGTTGACCTAACATGATTCAGTTGTATACTTATGAGGCTGTAGGAAGATTCTAACTGACTTAACAGAGCTAGTGGTGCATGAAGGTAACGCTAGCAGTGTGCTGGGTTTGTCCATTGTCTCTGTTGACCTTTAGTTTGTCAGGTGAGACAGCATTTAGTGTTGCTGTCAGAGCAGAAGTACAAGTAAGTGCTGTTTTTCTAACCCTTTCTGACAGTAAGCGCCGTCCCACAGGTTAGCAAGTAGTCATAGCAGAAATTCCCGACAGAGGGTTGGTTATAGGCTAGGAGCTGACTCTTGTCGCTTTTGCTCACTGTCTCTCTTTTTTCTCTGTCATTTCCTTTCCCTTTCAAAGGAACCCTTTTTTAGAACAAAGATGCAGAAACACTGCAGGTTTTGTTGGGAATTGAGCCATCCTATGCAAATATATGAAAGGATTTCTATTTAGCTTTTGTTTTTGCAGGACTGAGCTGTCGGAAATTTGCCTCGGATGGCATGATGGCAGCTAATTACCACTTCCGATCTTTGACCAAGTGTTTATTCACCGCTATACTAACTCATCCATGATGAAAATCCATTTTTCTTTACAACTAACCAATTTCTAACCAACTAATGTACTAACTATCATCCTAATTCTTCATCGTTGTTTTTGGTTTTTGTTTTCTGTCCATCCTTATTAACAACCTTTTTTGTTCACTATTCTGTTGATTTCCTTTCTTCCCCCTTTTCTGGAAAGCAATCAGGCATTGGACACGCTATGGTAAACAAACTACATTGTCTGGTAGATATCATTCTTATTGTCTTTTTTTTGGGTTTGCCGTGTGTCCCCTTCCCCTCTCTTCTTTTATTCGTTCTCTTTGAGTTCCATCCTAGACACTCTTATCAAAAAATGAGGAGATGGGTTTGTATTACCAGGCAATTCTTTCTTCGCTTCTTCTCAATTTACTCCCTGACCTGCCAACAACCTCCCTCTCTACCCCACAATCCCCCATCCTGTTCTTTTCACTTTGGCTTTTACGTTTTTTCTCTTTGTTTCCTCCACATTAATACAGATTTCTTACAAGATAAAAAGAAAAAGAAAAAAAAATCCTCTTTTGCCTTTAACAGGGCAACTTACTTTTTATGCTAATTTTTCCACACAAGAAAGTCCCCATTTTTTGTGAGGACTGTCGTCAAGAACTGACAGAAGCTTACCACAATCTCCAAGTTGGTGACCTCAACACCGAGCCCTAAAAGAGACGCCGGCAAAAAATGGCACCCCTTAACCTCAATTGCGGGAGCTCTGACAGTTGTTTCCAACTCACTATGGCGCATGGCATGCCCACACCTCATCAATTGACCTGTCATCTACCAAACTCATGGAACCCAGTCCTGTCACCCAGAATAACCACTAACACTCTAATTCATTCACTCATCCTTCACTTCTCACTGTATCACTCACTCTGCCTTCCTTGTTTGTAGTGTTTGTAGCATGCTGGTGAAACTGTGTTTATGTGTTCCAATAACCCCTGGGCCCATATGCGCAACATTTCAAAGAACAAGCATACTGATCTAGGATTACCGGTTTGGTCCAGCGGTACTGATAAAGTAAATACTGGAGATGCATCAATATGGCTTTTGCTAGCTGACTTATATGAAAATTTTAAAATAATTGGAACAAAATGCTCTCTATCTAATTTTATAGACATACTGAGTAGTTACGAATTCTGAATAATTTAAAACATGAATTTACAAAATAATTTTCCTGCTTTCATACAATTTTTAAGTAAAAATATTCAGTTTGCAAAGACAACATTGTTGATTTTTCTGTTTTTTAATGTAAGGACATTTGAATACAAAAGATTCCCCTGATTTGCTGTTTGTATGCAGCTTTTTCTCTTTGATCATAAAATAGCACAGTGTTGAATTCATCAGTGCAGTAAAGGCCTTTTAAGAACTTCCTGCCATCTAAACAAACCTACATCAGGGAAAATATATTTCAGAAAATATTCAATGAATATCTTATATAAACTAAATCAGAGCTTGCATAAAGTAATACTTTCTTTTCACGAAACTAAATGTTCATGTATTTATTTTAATTAGTATAATCATAAATAATCTGTTAAGGCTTTTCTATATGACAAAATAGGCAAGGAGAGTTTGAATCAGATAAACAGCCAATAATGACTCTAGAAGAGCTTCAAGAATACAGTACTTAGACAAAGCAATCCATCAACAATATAGGTATTCCTTTATAGATGACTGGGAAGTAGAACTGGATTTTTTAAATAAAGATAGGAATTCATCATGTAGGGGATACCACATGTGGAAGATCTTTTGGTCATATGAAACTAAACCCTTTAGGCTAACCTGCAAAACACAACACATGATGTACGTAAAACCATGAGCACACCGTTCCCACATTGAAACATGGGGGTGTCAGTGTAATGTTGGGAGGGATATTTTCTTTAGTTCAGAAAAGGAAGTTAGTAGGAGATGAAGATCAAGCTCTTTATGGCTGATACTAGTTTTAGTTTTCTTATTGCTTTGTGTTTTCGAGTTCATGTAGTTTGGACTATAAAACATTTAATAAAGTAGGTTTGATTCATTAAGAAAAGTTCATTAGGTTTAAGATTAAACCTAATGAACTAAATTGAAATAAAGAAAAAATATTAACTGCAATGCTTTAATAAAAATAAAAAAAACTTGATCCTTTTGTCATTGTGGAATGACTGCATATTTACCTGTTATGATGTTCAAAGATAAAAACAATATATATAAAAAATCAATCAATGTAAAGCATTTTTATTATTTAGGTAATCAAATGTAACATTTTAGATATTAGAAACTCATACAGATATTTATTTATGTTCTTCCTCAAACTTTAACAATACATGGAAATCCTATATGCCCCTAACCTTTATATAATTTTAAGCTGATGCTGTTGGTTGACATGATTAGAAACCAAAACCAGTTGAATTTCTCATCTTGATGCATTGTTTTAAAAGTAAAGGAAAATAATATTTTAGTCAATACTTGGCCTGCTGACAAGACCAATTTCTCAATTGATTGGTGCATCTCTAGCAAAAACATGACACTTGAGCTGAACCTGATCCGAGATCAGGATCTGCTGCTCTACAGATTTGCTCGGATATGGGTTTCAGTCTTGCATGAACCATTTAACCATGTGTGCATGTTCCAGATTTGTATGCCACATCAAATCATGTTCCATCTCCAGTTAAAATGTGCTTAGTTTGCCTTTCTAAGAGTTTTGCCCTTTGTTTGCACATTGATGTGGTGTAAAAAGCCTCCCTTTGTTTTGCATGTGCGTGGATTTACAGATGTATAAGTCCAGAGGAGTGTGCGAAACTGTGTATGAATGAGAAGGTGTGCTTGTGTGTGTATGTGTGCGTCTGCAGAAAGAGATAAATCCCGAAACCTAAGACAAGTGGAATCAATTTGTCCTTGGTTTGAACATTGTACTAACCCTCTCCCTACCTGAAGTTTCAGAATCAAACCTAAGATTCATTCTCTTACCCCCATCAAAGATAAAGAAAATATGCCTATGCCATATTTTCTTTACCTGTCCTGTGAATCCTTTGGCAAAAATTCCATTAACAAAAAAATCTAACTTTTCTCTGGTCCAAAAAAGAAATAGATTCAAGGTACCAAATAATAATAAAAAAAAAAAGTTTATAAACCTGAGTTTGAATGCAGACCAAGGAGGTGAATTTGTACACAACACAGGAACAAATTCCAGACTGTAATGGCTTGGCTTTGGCTATGTGTTACGCCTCAACAGGTGACAATTTCGGTGGACGGCATCCTCACTACCACAGGCTACACTCAGGAGGACTACACCATGCTGGGCTCCGACGACTTCTTCTATGTGGGTGGGAGCCCCAGCACAGCCGACCTGCCAGGATCGCCAGTCAGCAACAATTTCATGGGCTGCCTTAAAGAAGTAAGAAAAGACATTGATTTAAATATCTATAGAACAGCTGTTTCTCTTTAAACATATATTGTACAGTATGTTTTTCAACATATTCAATGTAGACATGAAAATAAATCATGGACTCTTATTTTTATGTAAGCAACTCTTATTGATCTGTTAAAAACCAAAGTTGTCTTTAAAATAATAAAAAAAAAAACATGTTAGAAACATATTTCCCTCCAATAGGCACAGGAAGAAAAGCTGATAGTGGATGGGTGTAAAATTGAATTATCAGTTAAAGGTGCTGAGCTGGCAAAACATTCATTTTTCTTCTAATACTTTTAATATCCCCTATCTTAATCTAATTCATAACACTTACTGCAGTTTGTGTGCAAAATTGCTTCTGTCAAATGCAATTTGAGGAATGAGCTTGTGAGTGTGGTTAAAACACCTTCTGATGGGTGGCATATTTACACACATATAAATGATGAAATACATATTTTTGGCCTTTATGCACTGCTCAGTGGGTGGCACCACTGCCTTGAAGCAAGAAGGTTACAGGTTCAATCCCCAGCCCTGGGTCTTTATGCATGGAGTTTGCATGTTCTCCCTAGCATGCATGGGTTCTCTCCGGGTACTCCCACTGTTAGATTAATTGGCTTCTCTAAATTCTCCTTAGTTGTTGGTGTGTTTGAATGGTTGTTTGTCTCTGTGTTGCCCTGCGATGGACTGGTGACCTGTCCAGGGTGTACCCTGCCTCGCCCTTAGACAGCTAGATATAGGCACCATCACCCCTTATGACCCCACTTGGGATACGCGAAATGAAATGGATGGATGTATGTTGGCTCTTTAAAGTGTACAAAGCACTTACGAAATACCTGCTGTTTTATTTATATGGGGGAGGCATTCATCTTAGGAAACACTACTATACCTCAGGTGTTTAAGAAATAAAAGCAATTAAGGGTTGAGCTGGATGAGTACTGGTCAATCTCATTATGTAATGTAAATCTGTTTAGCTGTTTGTTACGAACAATCTGATCGCATGACATCCCCTTGGGAAAAATTACTTAATGATGTAAAAACTTAGGTAATGCATGAGAAAGAAAGACAGTTGAACTGACCTTGAATGATATGTATTGTGGAAGACAAGGTGGTCTAATTATTCTAGAAATTTTTGATTCCCTGCATCATGCAGCTTTTTTGTTTTTACAGAGTACTGTCAAACATGGTCACTGTGTAGATAAAAAGTTTTATTTATCATAATGGACAGAGCAGAAAGGAAAGAAACTGGTGGATGGATGACAAATTGATTTAGTGATTTAGATATAATATATCCTGTCATATACTGTTCGCTCTTGTGGTGGTATTGTGATGATGTAGGGATGTGTTAGTTAGCATCCTTGCGGTTCCTTTGAACCAACTGAGTATCAATTTAACACCTTTAACAGCCTTTATTCTAGCTGAACATGTCCAGCCTTTTGTGCCCACAGTGTACCCATCTTGTAGTGGCTGTTTCCAAGCAGAATAATGTACCAACCCCTAAATAATTTGATAGGTGTTTTCAAATTTTTTTTAATTTTTTTTTTATTTATTTATTTTTTTTTTAGAACATGATAATGAGCTGTACACAGTTACCAGATCTTAGGCCCAGGTCTGGGGGGCGGAAAACGGGTCAGTTGTTGCAGGAAGGGGGCCGAGAACCCGCCCCTCCCACTATCAAGTTATAGAAAGGAACAGTCAATCAAAAGAGTTTTTTTGGGGGGAAATAATACATAGGATTTATCTTTCTGTTTCACCCAATCTTTTAGTTTAATTGTTTATTGAAAACTGTCCTTGCACTAACAGGAGACTACCCTCTCTTCCCAGTTCTACTTTGAGCTCCGGTTCAGTACATAATCCTGGGTGAGGTAGGAAGAGAAAGGAAACTAGGCAGCCTGAAACTTCCCCTCTGCTTCGGGTCAGACACATTTGAGATACAGTACTTTGTATATCAAAGACCCCCAATGTCACAGAATGAAAGAGGGTTTAAACCAGTGTCAATAAGGTGTACCATATAAAGAGGATGAGTGTAGGCAAAAATGTTATCTGTCCAATTAAACGAGAGAATGTCATTGTGTTTAAAGTGTATAGAATCTTTTATTTTTTTTTTCATATATATCAAAGATTTTTTTTAAAGGTAGTTCCCTCATCTAACCAAATTGGTTTAGTCTTTCTGCATGAATATACAACATTGTGTTATGATACTTTTTCCACTCTATTCAGTCTGGTGGTTTTTCCCATCAAAATTCTTCATTTAACCAGAGCTAGTAAATTTATGGATGTTCTGGCGAGCTTAATGGGCTATCTTCCTAAATGTACTCTAAACATACACAGACACATGCTGTGACTGCCATAGGTATGGGTTATGGAAAGTCACCTTGTCTACAGTCATATGGCTTTTGTTCCACTAGTCACGAATCTCTAAGTGTTATGAACTTTGTGACCATCTCAGAAGAGTTACATATTTACAGTGTTGTACTATCACTTGACAGTTTTTTGTTACCACATATTTTAGCATGTCTAAAATAAATGTTGGTTTAAATGTGAAGAAATGACATTAATCAATAGAAAGCTTTGTCCTATTAAGTGTATAAAGAAACTGTGTCGCATATGATATACCTTTTGCACTTCAGCATTTTAATATTTAGTCACAATATGCCAGTGCATCAAAGTGAATTAATTTATGGATCACCTTTTTAAATATTTTTGTCAATTTCCATCTAGAGATTGAAGTTCTAAGTCATTCACACAGTTTATGATATGTTTTAATGGTCATACAATTATCATCTGAATCAATATAAAACATTTTGTATTACATACAAATTCAAGCAGTTAGCATGTTGAGCTGAAGGTCTTTTGATCATTGTGATCTACACATCATAGCATAAAACTAAATATACTAAGCAGTGTTAACACTGTCTATTTTTTACATTTTATATATTCAATTCAATTTCAATTCAGTTTATTTATATAGCGCCAAATTCACAACACATGTCATCTATAGACAATTTACAGTTCAACCAGATCATACAGTCAAATTGATACAAAGTTTTCTATCTAAGGAAAACCAGTTGATTGCATCAACTCATTGACTCAAATACAATCCCTCACACTAAGCATGCTTATATGACTTTCTTGATTAGGTTCTACAATATATGTATACCGTACAAATTGTGTTTCTTTAGCATTGGCATATAGTGCATATAGCAGTGGTGCGTATACTATATCCAAAATGTTTTATTCAGCTGGACCAGCTGCAGGTTACAATATGTCAGTATCCAAAATTGTCAGATGTATAGAAAGTCATTCCTGGTAAATGTTTTAATTAAGCATTTTTAGTATAGGTTTTAAGTGTGGTTCTGTATGTAATAGAAATATGTCAAATACTCTGGCCTTGCAGAACAGTAAATGCATCCTCAGAATGGCACAATCTGTCAGGCTATTTCAGTCTTCAGTTGACTTTAGCAATAAAATATCATACTGAAAATATCCATATCAGTAGTAACAATACAGTTTCCATGTTTCTTTGCAGAGTTACATTGATTGAGTCTGTTTTTGCTCTCCTGTCAGTAACTTGCCAGTTTGTGCTGGTT